AGGAAAAGTTCCTTCTCTCCTTTTTAGTAAAGGCGGAAATCTCTTGTTTACCTATGGGGGCTTCTTAATGCAGAAAGGTGGTATAGGTGGGGTGAAGAAGGCAGTGAAACTCCCACTTCTCAGGCCTCAAAGTTAGATTCTCAAGGGCTTTCTCGGGAAAGGAAACGGAGAGAAGCAGCTAATTCCACCGGTCAAACCACCTTCCCTTCCTTGGCGGGCGCTGGTCCCTTTAAAGATAGTTTACTTTTCTGAAAGGTGGTTGAAAATGATTCCTTTCTGGGATCCCTAGACAAACTCAGGGTGGGGACGGCACCTCCCCTTGCCCATTCTCTCACGGTATATGTTTACCCTGCTGGGCCTGAGCACCCCTAACGGGTCGCTGGCTACCACACTGTTGTCCTCGGCACTCGGGTCTTTGGCAACCACGCTATTGTCCTCGGCACTCGGGAGCTCCTGGGAGCAGGAGGGCAGGGCGGGGACCCACCGGGGACGGGGCCTCAGAACTTTCAGCGGGTCGGGGTCCAAATCGTAGTCTTTGTAGTCCTCCACGCTGCGCGTGTGCCGCCGCGGCCGCGGGGTGTTAAACTGGAACAGGGGGATCTCATTCCTTCGGGACAAGAACTGGGAGTAAGGCGGGGGATTCGTGCCCGGCAGGAAGGCCCTCTTAGCCCGGCCCAGGCTGACGAAGAAGTGATGCTGGGGCGAGTGATACACGTCGTAGCCATTCTCCAGCGTTCGCTGGCGGAACTTGCAGCTCTCGGGGCTGAAGTGATGCTGAAAGGGCAAAGCGATGCAGGTGAGGGCGGGAAGTGTGGACCCGAGCCCCGTGCCCTGGGCTCTGAGCTCAGTGCAGACCAGCCTGGACCCTTGGAGGGAAGTCGTTGATGGGAGGAGCTTCATCTCTCCCGGCAATGCTATTTGGTCGCTGTATTTAACCTCACGGTGCCCTGCTGGGGAGACGTGATTTTGACTAGTGCTTTCCAAATCGCCCAAGCACTGAATACTGCTTCCACTCCCAGGGAGCGGCAGCCACCGGGACTTCACAGCTCCCTACCTGGACGCCCGCTGGCTTGGCACAGGGCTTGCTCGGGCTAGACGTGTTCAGAGCCGGCAGCACTTCTTGTGTTTGGTTTCTGGAGAGAGGGCTATCTTAAATGCAATCTTGTCCTTCCTACTCTCTACCATTTTGAACCCCCCTTTGGCTAAGTGGTGGCTTGGGCCTGCCTCCTTACCTGGAGAAAGGAGATGGGATGGAGTTTGCGGGGTCAAACATAAGTGAGAATATTCACATCGGAGAGATAATGTAGTTTGGGAATTAGGGACATGAACTTTGCCAACAGAAGACCTAGGTTTGAGCCCTTTCTCTGCCACCAACTAGTACGGGGTTTTATTGAGTGCCTGCCAGGACCTTTACATATTATTTAACTTAATCTTCAAATTCCACAAAGTAATATTTTACAGATGAGAACTATCTACATGCCTATATAAGGTCAACAGATTTGTTTGTTTATTGTCTCTATTTCTTCAACAGATATTTGTCTGCTCTGGGCCAGATACCATTATAGATGCTGAGACACCGCAGCAAGCAAAACAGAAAGTTATTGCTCTTATGAAATTTCTAAGGTCTCTCCCATGGTAAGAGGCTCTTGAGATAAGCAGCCCTATTATTGTACTATCTCAAAATCCTTTGGCATGTGCCTGCAACCTGTAGTTTTGAAAATCCGTTGCTTGCAATCTGAAGGACCAGCCATCACAATTGGGGCAGAGAGATAATTAATTTGAGATCTGTAACGTGTGTGTGTGCGCGCGCGCACAGCGGGGGGCGAGGGGCGGGCACCCAGAGGGCACACAGTCCATCTCACTGCACTTTTTCCAGGTGAGGAAACTGAACGTTAGAGAAGTGAGGGGACTCACTCAAAGTCAAAAAGGTAACAGAATCAAGAAGTTGCCGATGGTTTCTAATCCTTTCTAATGCACTTTGCAACATGTATTTACATGATTAAAGGACATACCGGCTACATACAAGCTGCTGTGCTAGACACAAAAATGGGTACTAACAGGCAGTTCAGACTAGAGGCTAAGAGTCTGTGCTCTAAAACCAGACTGCCTAGGTTCAAACCAAGATGTATAAACCTGAGCACTTTAGTACTTAGACTAAAAAAGTACTCAGTGAAAACAAATCAAGGTATACTGAAAATGGAATCTTCGGGCTATAACTATGTATGTTCTGTCGAAGAAATTAGATAATTATTTGCAAATAGTGACCAGCACAAAAGAAACTCACTGATCCAAAAATGTTGCCTTTGAAGTCCATGCAGAGGTATCTTCTACTCATCACACCTATTATCACCACAAAGCCACTGTCCTCTGATCTTATCATCAGGGCACCTGAGGAGAAAATTATTCATGTCAAATCCTTGCTGCACACCCAATTCTCACCTTCGAGCATGTCCTGAAAACCCACCTTCGTGAATACTCCCTTGATTGATTTTAATGGCGGTGATGATTTTATATAATTCTCCCCTTGTACTTACTTGTTCAGCCTCATTCTTCTGATTTTCTCTCTCGGGAACCCCCATTCTTCTACTTCACAATTTCTTCCTCCCTCATCTTCTTGCTACATGGAGCAGTCTGAGCTCTCAGTTTTCTTTCACCGGTGCCATACACATATTCCTCTGTCTGCCAGGGTTGTCTTTATTTTCCCCTTGCCTGGCTAATACCTCTTCATATTTGTGGTGGTAGTCATGTTCTCCCAAGTCTTCTGCCTTTGCGATGTTAAAATCTGTACTGAGATGTCTTTCAAGGATCCAGTCTGCATATAGAGCCTGATTCTCCACCCAGGTAGCTGTGTAATAGCCACTGACTCATCAGTCAACACCTATCATGTATTAGAATTGATCATCCCCTCCCTTCTCTGATTATTGAAATCACTCGTCCTTTAAGGCAAGGTTCAGATGTCACTATTTCTATAAAAACTTTCCTAATCTCCCTAATTATTAATTGTTCTTTCTTCTCAGCTCCCCCAGAACAATGCCTACACCTCTATTATAACACGTGTTTCATTCACCTTGCTTTAACTAAGTTTACGTATCTAGTGCCTCTCTTAGAAGGAGCTACTTAGAAGCAGAGGGTTTATCTTTCCATTAATAGATACTGGGGATGGATGGAATTTCTTCTTGGGTCCTTATTGCTATTTTTTGTCTTTTTTTTCATTAGGTGGTGTCCCCTCTAGGTACAGTCCCTCATGGTCTTTCAATGTCCCTCTCAAAAACTAGTTTACAACAAAGGCCTAAAACCCATTCATACTACTTACACCTTAAATAATTGATAACAGCTTTAAGTGTGACCCCCCCCCCCCATATACTCCAGTGTAAACTTGCAATTTTAACAAGTACTAATGACTAGTTAAATAAAGCCTAAAGTTTTCTGTTTTATGACAAGGCTGCAATTCAGCAAGACTTCTGCCCCAAATGCTGTTTAATTACCTGAAACTTTCTGTTGAAAATCATTTCCTTAAGTCTTTGGAGCCACTTCCATTTGCTTACCGTAGAGTTTCCCTCTGCATCTCATTTGTCCTCATGGCCCCAAGGAAGGACCCCAGGTAGGGGTTCGAATCCCTCTTCTAGAAATGTCATGAGCTCAGTAAATGGTGGAACCTTGTGGGGTGACTTACAGCCAGTCGCCCTCCCTACCCCATGTAAGCTCAATATAAGACCTCTGAGAAGTGCTGCAGACAATACTTAGATATGAGCTGAGTATAAATCCTGATATGGACTGAAATTGAAATGGTGTGGGACAGAAGGAACGAGGGTGGGAGCAAGAAGAGAAAGGAAGAGAAAAGAAGAGGCCAAAGAGAGACGTTAATTTGTTTCCAAGTTTGGCTGAGGGTTAGTCTAAGGGAAGCTTCTGGAAGTACGGTGGGGTATGAGAGGTGTAGAGGATATTTAAATTACCTCATAATGGGGTCTGCCTATGTGTCTTAAATATATGGCTAATTTTGTGGTAATCCTTGAGAGAAACATAAGAAACTTATAAGAAATAGTTTCTGTCCTAATGAATTTTCAGTTTAATTAGGGAAAAATTACATTGAGTAACTGCTTTTGAGTGATTGTGCTCTAAGTACTTTACATATTTTAAATTCTCAAGACAACTGCTGTGTTGTTAATATTATTAATATTGGTAGTTGCAGTATCCCAATTTAAGTGATACAGAAACCAAGGCAGGATTCAAACTCAGGTCAGTGACTTTAACATTCACTTCCTATGACCCTATAGCTTCCCTCCAACAGAAATCATTATAGGCACTAGAAGACAAAATTAAGTGCCAAAATACATGCTGCAGGCCATGAGAACCCTAAGTCGCCATGCCCCTGAGTGGGTCAGGGAAAGGTCACTGAGCCAGGAATTGAGAACTGGAGTACTTGAGTTCTGGTCCCAATTATGCCACTTACTTGCTTTATAGCCTTGGACAAGTCATTGCTCTAGCCTCAGTTTCCTCAGCTGTGAAAAGAGAATAACAATAGCTGTCCTGCTAAGTTTATAGGGTCATGATTAGAATCAAATGGGATGATGGTTGTAAAAATGACTTGAAAGGATTGAGCAAATGAAAGGCATTATATAGTATGTGCTGACATGACACTATGACAACCCCATATTTTGGCAATCATGTTGGCCTGATGCTTGGGGTCACTGTGGGCAGTGTGTTTGGTATACTTGCTCCTGATCCCTGGGGCCAGTCCCAATAGAATATAGCTTTTGGAACAGTGAGCAAGTGCTATGGAGGATGCCTAGGCTTGAATCAAACCAACATGAGCTAATATGAAAGTTTAGAGAATGTGAGAGACAGATTTCCTTCAGAAGGCATATTTTCATCATCCGCACAGATTCAAGAGCAGAATTCAGTAGAAGGAAGGAACAAAAATCATGGGCTGCTTGAGCTATAACCTGTTGGAACCAGGAGACTTAATGGTCATTTCTTTCAGTGGCTGTGGGTGATGCATGTGACCCTAGAAGAAGCATAAGTTTGATGTGAAGGTGTCTTTTAGGTCATTTACTACCTATGTGACCTTGAGCCAGTTATTTAAGTTCCTTAACCTTTGTTTTCTCATATGTAGTAGAGTCATTTACCTCATTTGGTTGTCTTCAGGATGTAATGAGATAATATTTTTATCTAACATAAGAGCACTTTCTGAATGCTGGTAATTGTTATATTACCACTTAATTTCACCTCTGCTATCAAAGTAGAAAATTATCTGCTCATTCTGGTCTCACAGCCAGTAAATGACGAATGAGATAATAGATGTAAAGTGCTTTGAGCTCTCCAAAACAAAGATGCGATTTTGAAGGATTGAGGGGTCTGAGGATAATTCAGCTTCAAGTAAAGAAAATGCCAGTGGGGAAGATGAAAGAAATAAAAATACCAGAATCTAGGAAGTGACATTAACCAAGGGTAAAAAGCATCTCTTTTCTGCTATTTCTACAAAGAGGGGATAATGGGAGGGTGATCTTTTTCAAGTAGGATAGAACACACAGACATTGGAGAGGTTCCCCGACATGAGCACTGTGAGTCTATAGGGAGGTTATAGAATCTTGTAGGGAGATAATTTCACAATGACCAACAACCCAAAGATGGGTTGGGCACTCAACTATTAATCAAGAATTTACTGAAGCTCAACAATTAAATGAAACAGATTTCACTGGAAAATTCATAATTAATTAGGAGGGGGAAAACCCACCTCACCTTCCCGTCATTGTAAAAGAATTGCTTTACACTCATGGAGGAGGTAATTATAAATCCTCTGTTAATTAGTTGTGCTATCTATCTACATGCACCAATGTTTCTTCTTTCTTTTTCGGTAATTTTTTATTTTAGTATATATTTTTTTTGGCAATGCACCTGATAACTGATTTGAATAGCACAAAGGTTATATAAACTAGGAAAGGTGTCTCCTTCCCATCACCCTGACCTGAGTTCCCTTCCCCAGGTTTGTGTTAATTTCCAGACAAAATGCTTATTTAGTGTCTATATCTGACAAACAAAACCACTTTTCTTTAAACAAAAAATATCTGAAATCAGTTCAATTCATTTTTCTTCTTCTCAGTCATTTTATTCATTCCCACCAGTACTTGGTGCCTCTTCTGGGCCTGATGCCAGTGGATATTTGTGGGAAAGTTCTAGAATCCAGCTTGCCTGCTCAGCAGCCTGAGCCCCCCACACTGGAGTGTTCAGCCCACCATAGCTTGCTCACACTGTTCTACTCTATGTTGTGTGTAGGAGGACATGTCTTTGGTGGGTGTGGGGTGTCCTTTCAGTGAAGGGATTCCATGATTCTGGGAGAGTTTTATAAGCATTCTCTAGTTATATGAAGCCCTTTCCATCTATGGGGATCAAAATAATTTACCATAATCCTCTGTTGTGCATTTTAAATCACCTATCTTGCAGTAGAGGTAAGGGTGACCCTCCATGAGAAGTGCAAAATTGTACTTTCTAAAAGTCTGGTAATGAGCTGGGAGATAGGACGAGGTGCCTGAAGGGCTATGTCTTCCTTTGCAGTCAGAGTTTTGCATGGTATCAAACACATTGTACATTCCATTAACTATCCATTGGAGCAGCATTTTGGATACATCAAGTGTATCCAGATTTATTTCAGATTTTTTCCTTTAGACTCAAACATGGCTTTCACGATGTTGGCTCCTGAATCCTACTATCCTTTTGAGTTCTGGAATCTTTAATATTTGAAGAGACCTTTTCTCCTTCCTCATATCCTATCACCATCCACTGAACACCTGAAGAGGTTTGATCTGTTGGGTTTGCAAGTGCATGTATCTTGCTACCAGGTTTGAGGACCTTTGATTCTTAGCAGAATTAATGTCTTGCACGCAGCAAGGCCACAGCAAAATTACTGAATAATTTACTACAACAATAAAGGGCAAATCGTTATTCCTATAAGGAGTTTTCTTTAATTAAATAGAGACTGTGATTACTCTTTCATTTCTTTAATTTGATCTGCGTTGAATCAATTTGCATTTTTATGTATCCTTAGAGTAATTTTTACATATTCTCATAAAATAGAAGACCTTTTCTACTTCGGTATTCATCCCCCCTGCTACCACATTATCTCTTATATAGGTGCACACCAAGGATCCCTCACTTGAATCATTAGGATAATCAATTGACTGTTGTGGACTGGTGAGCTAACTTTCCACAAACCTAATCTTTAAAAACATTTCAGTTGTCTCATGTTGCAAAAGAGTTTCCCAGCTAGCTCAGTTTTCTACTGAGTGGGACTTTCAGCTCCATAGAGAAGAATCAACAATTCATATCAAACTGGGTACCTCCGAATACCCCGGTAAACCTTTGGATGGATGAATGGTTAGATGCATGCATGCATGGATAGATGAGTGCATGAATGGTTTGTGTACTTGGTCAGACTCATCAAGATGACATACTTGGATAGTCTGTCTTTAATACATTTTTATGAAGCCAGAATACAAGAAGCTCAGAGTTGAAAAGAGCCCCTGAGTTTATCTGTTCCAAACCTTGGTCTGATACAGTAATCTTCTTCACAACCATTAAGCCAATCCAAGGTTCATGAGCTAAAACTCAGTGTCTATTGACCTACCTGGCTTTTTCCTCTCAGCCTCCTTGCCTTTCTTTCTGTGCATTTTTTGATTCTTTGGACAGGACAAAGAGAAAGTGGCTGCTATTGTGGGAAGAGGGATTTTCGTTAAGGCAGAAATTATTCATTTTGGGAGAAACGAGTAAACGCTAATTAGAGAGGTGATAGAATCTTCTCTCAAGGTTTAAACACACACACACACACACACACACACACACAGGTACACACAATAAGTGGATTCTGGGGCAAGAAGCTATGAGGCTGGATTAGCAATCCTATCTCAGGTTCTCCCCAAGTTCTTTGTAGGTATCATGGACAGAAGAGCCCTGCTTCTTCCCAGCCAGAATAAAGCCCCTACTCACTGTAGATGGTCTGATGGGGTGTGCCATCCACATGGCCATCCTTGTGGATCTGCAGGTGGTAGCCGTTCCTGGCTGTGGCTGTGTAGAGGTGGATCAGGCCCCCCAAGCTGGAGCTAAGCAGCGGAGAGGCATCGGGATAGGCTCTGACTGCACCGCACAGGATGCAGACCAGGAGCCCTAGGCTGCCCCTCGGCATCACTGCTCTCTGAGTGGCTGGCACAGAATTTGAAATCTGACACTGCCTCCCTTACTCCGGTGGCCTCTCTGGCCTTTTTCTCCTCTTCTTCCTTGTGGGTATCTGGCATGAGGATCCCAGGCTGGATTCCCTCCTTTTTTTCCCTCGGCCTTTTAAAGGGTAGCAGTGTGACATCAAACAGGAAAACCTCCACTGTCCACATCCTCTGTGTTGTAATCAGCCCATCTGAAGAGAATGCAGAGACCTCTGAGGCTCACGGAAGGCACGTCGATTCCAGACACACACACGCACATGCACATACACACACACAAACCCCTCAATTTCAAGCCAATGCTTCAAAAAGTGAATGATGTGTGGGCAAAAGTTATCTACAACTCTGGGTTCTCTGTTGACCTGTCCCACTTCCAGCAGGAAATGTGAAGGCAGTCAGTGGTTCCGAAAAAAATCCAGCTTCAGTCATGCGGTCAACAGACTTCTGTGCAATTCATCTCCCATCGAGTTTATTCATTTTGGTTTTCTCAGTCCTTTTAATTTCAATCAACAACTATGTGTCCAGTGTTTTCTCTGTGCACAGCACTAGGAGGGTGTTGTGAAGAATACAGAAATAATACAGGGCACCATCAGGTAAATGGCATCCTCTGAAACCCACTTCCTTCTGAAGATATGGGAGCTGGGAGCAGAGGTGCAAAAACCAACGTTGCCATTTTGGGAAGAGTTCAAAATGGGAAGAAAGAAACAAAGCCTTGAGGTCACTGATACTCTACAAAATGCTGAAGTTTGATTTCTCAGTTTCCCTGGTTTGGACTGTCCAGGGCAATTAAACTGGTATTATGGTCTCTCCAATAGTATGGAGACTAATTCAGAGACCTCCTGAAGATTGGAAGACTGCTGGCTGAGCACGGGGGGCAGAGCCCAGGAAGGTCCCGAGAGCGCAGAGGCAGGCCAGGGGTCCCCATAGTTAGTGTCTACTAGGTGTCTGGCTCCTGGGACTGGACTCTTTCTCACAGATACTACTCAGAGGTGTGTCTTTTAGGAAGCTACTCCTGATGTGGAGAGATAGTCCTGGCACAGGCAGTCCAACAGGGAGAAAGCTACTGGAATGCATATTGTTAAAACAAACACACAAGCAGGCTGCTACTCTTCCAATTTCTCATTTGCCAAGTATATACAATGTGTAGAATCAGGCTAGACATCATGATTAATAGAAGGGAGAGCAAGATGAGATCACTGCTTCAAGGACCCCACAGGCTAATGGAAAGGGCAAATAAAAATAAGTAACCATCATACAAAACAACATGGGATGTGCAATCATATAGACACAGGCAAAAAGAGGTGCCATTTGTTATTCTACAATTTTGTAAGTTTTTATAATTTATAAAGCATTTTCACATGTGTTAGTTCATTCGAACCTCACTGCAACTTTGTGAGCTAGGCACACCAGGCATTATCAGTATTTTAAATTCATATATGAAGAGCTGGAGATCTTGGGGTTCATATGTCCAAAGTTGTCAATCGAATAAATGGAAGAGCTAGGATAAGGTCTTCTGATTCCCAAGGCTGCTTCTCCAATAATAACATGTTGGCAACTAATGCTTATCGAGCGCTTAGCAAGGGCTTTACTTGTAGTAAGTCTTCATAACAACCCTTTGAAGATACGCTATTATCTCCTTTGTAGAGATGAGGAAACTGATGCACATAGTTTAAGCAACATGCCCCAAAATGTACAGCTAGTATGTGGAAGAGGTTAGATTGGAATCTGGGCAGTTTGACTCCAGGCCTGCTAAGTACTTTGCTAGATGCACAAATCCCACACCATATTAGGACAAAAGCTAAAGAGCTAGGGACTTGATAAGAAAATGCAAGTAGCAATAAGGCATAATACTCTTTAGTTTTTCTCTAGGAAAGCCAGGCCTTTACCCAGAATGTGTCCCTAAGAAACTGGGTGCTGTCTTCCCAGGTTAAATAGAAGATTTAGGACATTTAAATGCTTATATATAAGACAGTCTTCTTTAACGATGTTCATAGAGTGGTTCTGAGGGCAGAACACTGTCTTTTCTTCCAATCTCTCCCCCAGATTTTTTGTTTTGTCACCTGCTACGCTTGGTCATCTACCTGGGAGTTACCCACCTGTGGATGGTGACTGGAAGTGTTTAAATTCTCTCCTGATTGGTTTGTTTCTCTCTCCCTGACTTGCTCATAATGTCCACAATGGGTTAGAGATAAACTCAAGTAAGGACAATGTCTTTAATCTGATATTTAATATCACATATAGGATTTTATATATTTTATAATTTAATATTAAAGGTCACTATAATATCAGTCTCAGTCCAACATATATGATCAAAAGTAAATCTAAATACATAAATAGAACCCTCATTATACATTCCAAAATGAAATACAAATGACTTCTGTAATATTACAGGATCCATGCCACGCCTATCTTGCCTTTGGTGCCATAACCAGAAGCTTATTTTGCAGGACAAAGGAGTTAGAGCACTGCAGGTGCCTTCGCTGGGGAACCCTAGTAAACTGAAGGTCATAGAGGAGCTGGAGGGCAGAGGACATAGGAGAGGTCCAAGTGATTGATTGTAGCTGCAGCCTCAGTCCTTTTTCCTCCCCTCTTTACTCTGCACCCCTCCTCTTCTCCGCTAACATCCTTCTTACTGGAAACCCTCTCTTGGCCTCCACCTCTGTGGCTTGTGGGAGATAAGGCAAAACGTGTCCCAGGCTGGGGGAGGCCAGGCCCATGTGAATGATTTCACAAAAGGTCACGTTGGGTGATAAAGCAGGGTTATGCTTGTTTCACTCAGAACAAAGCCAGAGTTAGGCCACACTTGAGCTGGAGGCAGCGTGGGGGACACAGCTTTTGAATTAAGGATTTTCAGTGTAAAGTTTATCAATCTGTAGCCCCTTCTCCAAACCCTACACAGAGTCACAGTTCCAGAGGGCTCCTCAACTCTCCTTTGCTTCTTTTTAATACTCTCGACCCACCAAGGAATTTTTTTTTTTTTAACTTTATAGAGATAGGGCTTTTTAACTTGTTCAAAATACTTTCATAATGATTATCTCACTTGTTCCTCACAGAAATGGTCTACTTTTTGAGAGACTTCCCTCAAACTGTTATTCCTATAAGCATCCCTTTGGCTGGCCAGACCTCATGGCCCTTGCTGGGGTGACTGAGTTCCCCAGATTTCTCCACCCAGCACCCCCTCACCCTGTCTCCTATTCGTGCTTTTCTGAATTGGAACCCCACTTGGAGTTTCCGAGCTTGGAAGACTTGTGAATTCTGAACCCCTTCCCTTTCCCCTTCGTTTCCTTCCCCTTCCTCCCCACTGACTCCTCTAACCAGGGCATTCAAGGGGTCTCTTCATCCCTTTCTTTCCTCTCTGTGTGGGTCATAGAAACATAGGTTCTCATAGTTGAATGTTAGGAATCTTGGACATCTTCATTATTGCCTGTTTTTACAGTGAGGAAAACTGAGGCCCAGAGGTGACTTACCCAAGGTCACACAGCCATGTTAGTGGCAGAACTTAATATTAGAATCAGGCTTCTGACCATTAGCAAGAGTTCTTTCTACCACAGAATAATTACATCTATTCCCTGGAATAAATTCATTGAAAGGGAATCAGGCCACCTAGATTCTGAGCCTGTCTTGTGACTAGCTGCTGGGTGATTCTTTTCATCTGCTTCTCAGAGTTAGCTCATGCCTCATCTGTGCCACTTTGAACGCGGGGAGATAAAGGAAATGACATTTGGGTGTTGGGTGAGTTCTTTGCAAATAGATCCTTCCTTGCCCACCTTGTCCTAGCACCAGCCCAGGGGTAGGAAGGTTTGGCTTCCCATAGTTTCATTTTCCCCTACCTCGGCGATGTTAACTCCTCTTAGTACCTACAGTGAAGGTGCTGGAATCATTCCTTGCACAATTATTTTGTCTTCCTCCTGGACTTTACCCTTACCAACTCATACTGTGTAGTGGAAGAGCAAATCCTTGAGGCAGGAGTCCTGGAAGCCACCTCCACCAATCTTATCCTCACTTGTATGGATCTCATTTCTGTTCTGTGTTAAAGAAAGGGATTCAGCTAGAAGGTGTTTGCTCTTTTCCAGGTGATGGGAAGAAGAAGCAATTTCTAGAGCCCTTAGTTACTCTGCCTGCAGGGCTTTGCTATACTGCTTCCCCTATCCCACTCTACAGCTTTGACCAAAGCCAGAGGGAAGGCAGTGATGCTTCCAAAGTTGGATTCTGCCCAGAGAAGGAACAATAGACACTTTGGACACACATAATTTGCATGATCTGATTGGTGCTCCAAGGCTGCCCATAGGAACCCAGCCCACCCTCTCAGGATGCCTGGGGCTTGTCACGCAGCCCACGTCGGGGAGCAGACATCCTGGTTCCCACTCACCTCCTTAGAGCCTGTGACCCAAGCCAGCCCACCATGTTTGGGGCTCTGTACATCCGGACCATGTTATCTCAGGATCCTGGGACTCCTTGGCTCCCTGGCCTCCTCTCCTCCCTGTGGACACGTAGCCACCACATACTTCTCGGAGGGCTATTTCTAGCTGAGGGGCCAGTAATTCAGCCAGCTTGTCAGGTCAGGCGGGCTGAGTGCTGCAGCTGGAATGGGCGGCCTGACACGTTGTGGGGTCAGCAGAGGGCAGGATGTTGGGGCTTCCGGAGGCAGGCATCCCCCCAGCCTGCTGGAGGTCATGGTTGCTGAGATGTGGGGGTGGGGGGCAGACAGGATGCTCCTGCTGCATGATTGGGAGGAGCTGGGTTCTCTAAGGGGAGAGGCGAGAACTCAGCCTCTCCATACCTCCAGCAGTTCCCTGTACTCTAAACCAGTATAGCCCTTTCCCAAATTATTTTTCTTTAGCATAGCTCAGAGTTAACATGGTTCAGTAGTTAAATTCAGGCCCTGGTGTAGGCAGACTGGTTCAGAAACTAAGTTATGATCCATACCAGCTATGCCATCTTTGTCAAATTACCTCACCCCTTTGAGCCT